TTCTTTTCTTTACTTCTTCCTTCCTTCCTTCCTTCCTTCCTTCCTTCCTTCCTTCCTTCCTTCCTTCCTTCCTTTCTACCTTCCTTCCTTCCTTCTTTCCTTCCTTCCTTCCTTCCTTTTCTCCTTCCTTTCTTTTTCTGGTGGTGGTAATACTGGGATTTGAACTCAGGGCCTGAATTCTGGGCCTGGGTGCTGTCCCTCAGCTCTTCAACTCAAGGCTATTGCTCTACCACTTAAGCCACAGCGCCACTTCCAGCTTTTTCTGCTTATGTGGTGCTGAGGAATCAAACCCAGGGCCTCATGCATGAAAGGCAAGCACTCTACCACTGAGCCACCTTGTGGTTTTTTTTTTTTTCCTTGTATAGACTTGGACTGAGATCCTCCTCCTTTATTCCTACTGCATAGCTGGGATCCAGGTGGACTCCAGCACAACTGGCTTGTTTGTTGAGATAGGGTCTCACTAACATTTGCTCAGGGTTGCTCTGAAATCCCATTCTCCCTAATTCCAGCCTATTGAGTAGCTAGAATTACAAGCATGAGCCATTTTATCTGGCCACTTAAGAAAACAAACAAACAAAAACCCTGACTTTGGGCCAAAATGTATTTTTAAAAGTTTTTTCAGTGTTACATATTTCCTGGGGCAACTCTTACACACAGAAAAGGATTTATTTTCCTTTTGTGTTTCCTGCATGTGAAAGAAACTCCATGCTTCTCTAAGGTGTGTTTCTAAATGCTGTATTTATTTAGTTGTTTATAATTTTTATTATTTTATTTATTTATATTTTTGCCAGTTGTGAGGCTTGAACTCCGGGCCTGGGTACCGACCCTGAGCTTTTTCCCTCAAGGCTAGAGCTCTACCACTTTAAGTCACAGAGCTTCTTCTGGTTTTCTGGTGGTTTATTGGAAATAAGAGTCTCCTTGGCTTTCCTGCCCCAGCAGGCTTCGAACCATGATCCTCAGATTTCAGCTTCCTGAGTAGCTAGGATTACATGGACGTTAGACCAAAAAATATAAGCTTCATTTGAAAACATATACAGGGCCCCATACATATTCTACAATCAAAATGACTAAAGTATGGTATATGAAGAGATGGAGTCCTGTGGTTTAACTCCTCTAAACAATTAACAGGCAGCTTAACAAAATGAATCTTTGGCACATCTTTTATTTTTTTGTAAAGGTGATGTACAGAGAGATTACAGTTCCATGAGTCAGATAATAAGAGCATTTCTTTTTGAACAGAAGGCACTTTTTTTTGGGTCGGTTATAGGGCTTGAACTCAGGGCTTGAACTGGGCAGTATCCCTGAGCTCTTTTGCTTAAGGCCGTCTCTCTACCACTTTGAGCCACAGTGCCACTTCCAGTTTTTAAGTGATTAATTGGAGATAAGAGTCTCAGGGGGACCTTTCTGCCTGGGCTGGCTTCAGATTGTGATCCTCAGATCTCAGCCTCCTGAATAGCTAGGATTACAGGCTTGAGCCACCAGCAACTGGCTGAAAGTCCTTATTTCTTTTCCTATTATATCCCATACCACTCCTCTGAGCTTGTAGCAGGTGGTGCACAAGATACCATCTGGAAGGGGGTGGGGGCATGTAAACTGGTGCAGTCTGCGGAAGGCAGGCTTATTTTTGTGCTAAAGCCATGAGATGATCATGCTCAGTGGTAAGAAATTTCTAGATGAAGGGGAGAAGGAGGAATTCTTTGAAGTCCACACCATGCAATGCAAATTAGATAGCAGTAATCTTTAAATGCTCCATTTTCAAGGACCCATTAGAGACATTCTTTCTCTCCTCATGTTCATGGATAGCTCCTTGATTCAGAGCATCTCCCACTGGTGTTTGGGCTTGAATCTAGGGCCATATGCATGCTGAGCCTGCTCGATCACAGAGCAGTACCCCAGCATTTCCTCCCAGCATATTTTTTTAAAAACCATGAAAGCCAGAGGTGTTTTATGATTTATGAAGGAAAAATAATTGACCTTTTGTCCAAATGAGCTTGGTAAGGTCTTTGAGCCTCAGTGATCTACTTGATTCCAAATATCCTATTTCTCATTTTTTTTTCTTTCTTTCTCATAGGATTAGGTCGAAGAGCTGAAGATCTCTCTGCTGAGCAGCATCGACTTGCCATAAAGTGAGTTAGCAATGCATGCTCAAGTTTCTTCACAAGTCAGAATCTAGAGATTTTCCTCATCTTTTTACTATCATATATGAATCCTATTATATGGATATGGTATAGTTTATGTAATGAATTGGTTGTTGGTGGACACTTGGACTGTCCACTGATTCTTGGCTTTGACAAGTGTAGTAACCTTGCTTCTAGGCCATTTTACACATGTTTGGGTCTAGCTGCAGGACAGATTCTCAAAAGTGGGATTTTCTTAGTTCTGTTAGGTTCTCCTTCACCAGGGTTGGTTTCTATGTACAATTTATTCTGGAGAGCATGACTCTGGGACCTTCAATAAACAGATGATTATTAATACATGCCCTAACGCATGGAAAAGATAGGAAGCAAGGCATAGAGATGGATGTAGGGCTGGGAGCTAGAGTAAGTCTGAAAGTGGGTTTGGGTCCCTATAGATATACTATGGTATTGAAGAGGAAGAAGAGGTTCCTGAAAGAGGAGAACAATAGATGTGGAAATGAAGATCCTATGTTGGTGGCTCACTGCAGAGAGCCCCAAAGCCATCATGAGGAGGGTCCCTGCTGGAGAGAATCGGGAGGGAAGTAGGAATCAGTGAGCAGAGTCTGAGATAGTGGAAGATATCTTCTTTATTCTTTCATGAAGGAATGGAGACTCGGGAGCAGAGGGGAAGATTCTAATGAACCTAATCCTTTGTTAAGCATTGGGGGGGGGACAGTTGGGACAGGGCACATTTCAGTAACAGGCAAGAAATAGCATTTCCAGAAGTCTTTCCCCCAATTACATCCTGTTGGAATTAACTGGCCTTCCAAAGGCCATTCATTCATTGAAGCAACAAGCAAAACCGTTCTCTCCAGGTTGTCTTTTCCTGCCACTGGTTTGGTGTGTTGTTTAGGACCTTGTGCCTGGATGCCAAAGCAGATGCTGGCTGTTATCAAGCTAGTTTGGCCTGTTTCCTTTCAAAGTGGAATTTGGTTCCACCCATTTTTTGTTTTGTGTTTATTTTGGCGTTTGAGGAAGGAGTTTCCTCACTTCAAAGCATCGTGCTTTCAGTCTATTACATTCGTTGTTTTGGGCTGAAGACAGATAAAGGTGATGGGAAAGCTTTCCTGATCTCAGTTGTTTGGAGTGCTAGTAATTCTAGCCTGAGGGATTTACAGCCAGGGTCACCAGCAGAGGGCACTGTGGAGTTCTGTGCCAGCTCTGACTGCCTGGCTCATTAACTTTTCCTGTCTGCAAGATTTCTCTCTCTTAGGTGGAGTTTACAGAAAACACAGTGAAGGAAGGTCTTATCACTTAGTAATTTACAGAGATGACCATGTTTATGGTTTTCCCATTTGTACATTTTGAACAAATAGGAAAAGAGTAGTTTTTGCCTCTGTGTGTGTGTGTATGTGTGTGTATGTTTGTGTGTGTGTGTATGTTTGTGTGTGTATGTTTGTGTGTGTGCTCGTTCTAGGGCTTAAATTCAGGGTCTGGGCACTCACTATCCCTTCGCTTTTTCACTCAAGGTTAGTGCTTTGCCACTTGAGCCACAGATACACTTCAGGCTTTTTGGTGGTTCATTGGACATGAGAGTCTCACTGAAGACTTTCCTGCCCCTGCTGGCTTTGAAAACCATGATTCTCAATCGTAGCCTCTTGAGTCGCTAGGATTACAGAGGTGACACTGTTGCCTTGTGCAGAGTATTCACCTTTCAGAGTCTTCTTATTTCCACAGAGTGAAACCCTCGCTGTTGGAATACTTAAGTTACCTTCTCAATTTCATGAGTGTCGTCGCCGGCCCTTGCAACAACTTCAAGGACTACGTAGCCTTCATTGAGGGGCGGCACATACACATGAAGTTGCTGGAAGTGAACTGGAAGCAAGAGGGTTTCCACGGCCTTCCCGAGCCTTCTCCCAACGTAAGTTCTGAGTTCCACGGATGTCCTCAGAGCTTCAGAGAATAGGATCTGCTGTAGGTTGACCTTCTCTAGTAATAGTTCTAATAATAATAATAAAAAAAGCCAAGGCTGAGGGTAGAGCTCGGGAATAAGAGTACTTGTCTAGCAAGCTGGACGCCCTGGGTTCAGTGCTCAGAATGGAGCAAACAAACAAACAGAAATGCAAAACAGTTTACTCAGGATGTCAACCAGTAACTTGTCTCTCTTTAGGAGTGTTAGGACTTATTTGATCTAAAATTGTGGCCATTTTGTATTGGAGCGCATATGTAGGAGCCTAGCATTGTGTTCAGTACCTCTAGATATTCATCAATCCGAACTTGAGGTTCAAACTGATGTGTACTGTGTACTGTCCTTATACCATTTTACAAACCAGTTAAGTGTACCTTTAGGAAGGAAAAAAAAACTATAGATCTATATATAATATCTGTGCTAGGAGGAACAGAGCAAAAGCACTCCATTCAGAGGAATTTAAAACATCAGCACATTTTGACTTCAAAGCTGACTAACCCTGAGCCATACAGAAAGGCTAAAGCTGTACGTTACCTGCCCATGAACTGGCTCAAGTGTCCTGTCACTTGCATAATAACTTTATACCCAAGGCTCCATCCTCGGGGTTGGTGACTCAAGCCTATTTCCTGGACTCTGTTGGCCTATAAAAGTAGAAGGCAAATAGTTAATTGAAAATTATGGATGGGAAATTTCCACCCTCTAATGGTATCCATTTCTCCTATGTTTTGGGTGATAGATGCACCTTCGTTTGGTAGAATATACAGAAAGATGTTCTGTTCTATCATGAATCTCCTTAACTCCAAAAGTGTCACATGTGTATTCTGCTGCTTTATCTAGTGCCCGATCCTCATCATCAGATCCGTGTCATGAAGAAACACTCCTGGTGTTTCTTTTCCTTTTGGAAAACAACACATGGCAGATACTGGAGTATCAGTGATCTTAACATACCTGTGTTGAAGCTGTTGTCCTGTAATTGAGTCTCCTGAGTGATGACACAAGATTTTTCCCCCCATCTGTAGGGAGCTGTGATTCGCAAGTTGTACATCGCCTTGGGGTCTCTCTTTTTTTTTCTGACGCTCACCAAGTCCTTCCCTATCACTTGCCTGGGTGATGACTGGTTTGTCCATCAAGCAAATTTTCCTACTCGACTCTGCTACTTGTACATTGTCATGCAAGCTGCAAAACCCAAGTATTACTTTGCATGGACATTAGGTAAGTTGGACACAGTGGCCCTAAATGAATGAACAATACAGTCATACTCCGTGGAATGGCTTAGCCAAAACAGCCTTTTGGATCACCTAATAAAATGCAAATAAAAAAAAGTCCAATCCGTAATGGAAAGCATTTAAGCCACTGTCATTTTTGTTGTTGTTGTTCATTGTGCAGCTTGAACTCTGGACCTGGGCGCTGTTCCTGAGCTCTTCAGCTCAAGGCAAGCAGTCAACTACTTCAGCCACAGCGCCACTTCCGTTTTTTTGGTAGTGAATTGGAGATAAGAGTCTTATGGACTTTCCTGCCCTGGCTGGCCCAGTGTCATTTTTTTTAAAAAAACTTTTTAACATAACACTCTTCTCTTTCATCCTCCATAAACCAAATTTTCCATGGCAAGAGACAAATCATTCCTGGCTCTTGTTTAAACCCAAGGTAAACAGATGTCAAATACCAGAAGCTTCTTCCACCCATCATATTTAACCACTGAATATAGCAGAAAGCCAAGGGGAAATTCCAGAACAGTTTAGCTTCCTTGTAATTTTTCTAGGTCATATGTAATATAGAATTCCATCCTGAATTAATTCTACCATTCCACAAGCTAATTTAGCTCACACTTACTTCTTGAAGAAAGTGTAGATTTCACTTGATGTTTTAGAGAAGAGCTGACTTTTAAATTTCTTTATTTTTAAAAAAAAGTTTTCTCTGTTTGCCCCCCTGTGGGCAACCTGGTCAATATGAAGCTTTCATCTCTTTTCAAGTAAGTTCAGACTGGAGTTGTTCAAAATTTTGCTAAAGTGAAGTAAACCCTTCTACGTTCTTTCCAAGTTGGTAAAAACAGCTTGGAAATATCTTTGGGAATGAAAGTTTAACATCTTGGCTGGTACTTGTCAGAGAGCAGGGGGTTTCCCATCTCTGGGTTTTTAGATGGGGGTCTCAATATGCAGCAAAGGCTGGTGTCCAATTTGCGAACTTCCCAAATGCCTGGATTACGGGTGTGATGTGGCTTCTAAAACCAAATAGATGATTCAACTCAGCTTCTAGTGCTTCGTCTATATTCTTTACATAATTGATTGAGTTCTCTTAGTTGGTGCTTCTGATGCTAAGCTCCCAGTTAAAATTTGCAAGTACCAAATTTCTTTATTCTACTCATTTATTGTGGTAAAAATCGATGTGCTATTAAATTTGTTCATTTAGGCTTCTAGTTCGGTGGCATTACGTTCACTCACAGCATTCTAACATCAGTGTCATCTATCTTCAGAGCTTTCTCATCACCCCAAAAGAAGCTCTGTCCATTAACTAGTAACTCCCTGTTCCTCCCCAGTCCAGGGTATTTTGTTTGTTTGTTTGTTTTTGTTTTTGGGTCCGGTTGTGGGGCCTGAACTCTGGGCCTGGGCACTGTCCCTCAGCTCTTCAGCTCAAGGCTAGTGCTCTACCACTTGAGCCACAGCACCACTTCCAGCTTTTTTTTCTTTTTGCTTATGTGGTGCTGAGGAATTGAACCCAGGGTCTCAAGCATGCAAGGCAAGCGCTCTACCACTGAGCCACTTTCCCAGTCCCCCAGTCCAGGGTATTTTTAAAAGCCAAAATGTTCATGCACAAATTTGTCCAAGGCACTACTTTCCTAATATCTGACAAGATAAATTTGACTTAGAGTTATTCTAAAACTTGCAGTATGGGGAACATTTTGTCTCCACTTACTTTTAGTTTACTTCAAGGGGTTTTTGTGGCGTACCAGGCTTTGTGCTAGGAAGAATCAAAACTGAGTGAGATACCTTTTCTCCACCTCAAGATTGTGAGACTCAGAACATAGACATGTGCAACCACTAGGTGGTAATAGTCCAGAGCTGACATAAATGTTAGTCCAGCGACTGACATCAAGACAATAATGTGTACTACTGGTTATTGGAGAAGGCTTGGAAATTCCCTTTTATTGTACTCCTTATTCTGCTATTACTTTCTTATTTTAAAATGGTAATTAGGCATTATACCAGTGATGATTGGAACACAAGCCATATTTTTCCATGTGAAATAGTTTATGTGATTTTTTCCCCATCTACTCAAATGAGGTAGGTGTGTGTGTGTGTGTGTGTGTGT